ATGTCGAAGAGTTGCTAGACAAAGAATCCGGAGAACTTACAAATGAAGAGCTAATCGAACTGGAAGAAGAAAGAGCGGCGGAAGAAGAAAGGAGAAGCAGAGAAAGAAAAGGAGGAGCCAGAAAGAAAGTTCACCACTAAAGGATTATCAGACGGTTTATCTTTACTGAATAAACTTCCTATACATTTCGAAGCAATGGACCCAATCATTGAACGATTTGCAAGGATTGAACAGATGGCACATGATGTGTTTCATCCGTATCGTGAAATTTATGAAGAAAAAAAGAAACATACAATTCAGACAAAGCTCACCATGTTTAGGAAAAAACCAACTCTAGTAACCCCAACTGCTGCCTCAGATGACGACATCAACGATCCACAGCCAAGCACCAGCGGCCAATAAAATGTTTCGTACATGTTTATATATTTTGATATGTTTTGCAATTGGGAAAATGTTTCCTATGGTATTTTTTACACCTGGATTTTGTATTTTTGTATGCACCTGTATTTTGTAATTTTGTATGTTTTGCAAATATTAAACCAGTTGTACTGGTAATGCAGTGTTTTACTTAAACCTGATGAATGTAAAAATAAGAAACAAAATGGTGTAGAGATGATACAAATGGCATAAAATGAACAAAGAAAATTATGATATATAACAATAATGAAAGAAAATTATGATAAAATATGACTTAAAGATTTTTATAACATCATTTCATGGTACTGTACATATAGCCTACTCAACTTACGACCAAATTGTGTTACGACCGGTCTGTCGGAACCAATCGTGGTCGTAAGTCGAGCACTAGCTGTATTTACTTTGTTCATTTCTCCCATCAGACAATAAGGTGCTTGAGACTTATGTCTTATTTACAATCTCCCCAGTGCCTAGCATAGCTCAAGACACATATTAGGATCTCAAATACTGATTAAACCAATGAACAGGAGAAATAAAATTTGTTTCAAATAGGAAGTATACAATCTCTGAAGAAAACTTTCAGAGATGTATGTTTTCAAATGAGAAAATAGGCCAAGGAAGGTGAAGTGACTCACCCTTGGTCTCCTGAATCACAATTCTCTCCCACAAAATTACAGTCCCTATTAAATTGTGCTTATTGATCTAAGCTTCCCACGAAGCTCTAGAAGTAATACAAAAATGTTATAAAGAACCATTTCAGTCAGGTGCAGTAGCTCATGCTGTCATCCCAGCACTTTGGGAGGCCGAGGCTGGCAGATCACAAGGTCAGGAGATAAGACCATCCTGGCCATGGTGAAATCCCGTCTCTACTAAAATACAAAAAATTAACTAGGCATAGTGTAGTCCCAGCTACTGAGGAGGCTGAGGCAAGGGAATTGCTTGAACCTGGGAGACAGAGGATGCAGTGAGCCAAGATGGCACCACGGCACTCTAGCCTGGAGACACAGCTAGGTGTGGTGGTGTGCGCCTGTAGTCCTAGCTAGTCAGAATGCAGGAGAATTGCTTGAACCTGGGAGGCAGAGGTTGCAGTAAGCTAAGATCACACCATTGTACTCCAGGCTGGTGTCTGGCGACAAAGCGAGACTCTGTCTCAAAAAAAAAAAAAAAAAAAAAAAAAAGAAAAAGTATATATTGTATGCCGCTTAACAATATCTAAAATGCTGCCTTAAAACAAAGTGCAATCACACTTGAGAGAGACTGAATGTGAACACCAGAGACAGGTACTGCAACTTCATCAGGAAAATCCCTATAGTTCAATGCTACTGTTTTCAAGGGTTGCTACACTATACTGCAATTGTGTTACTGGGCAACAACTCAGAAGCTAGAATGGCAAATTCACCCAAGAAATAACTATTATTTATTATTTATTTATTAATAAATAAACAAATATTTATTAAAGCATTCTGAGACTCAACTTTATCTTTTATACCTTCAATTGAAGTAACTCTTTGTTACAAGCATCAGATACAGAATTTTGGGTGAGACCGTTTTAAAAACTACCTGGACTTTTTTTTTTTTTTTTTTGGAGACAAAGTCTTGCTCTGTTGCCAGGCTGAAGTGTAGTGGCACAATCTTGGCTCACTGCAACCTCCACCTCCTGGGTTCAAGTGATTCTCCTGCCTCAACTTCCCAAGTAGCTGGGACTATAGGCATGTACCACCACATCCACCTAATTTTTGTATTTTTAGGGGAGATGGGGTTTCAACATGTTGGCCAGGATGGTCTCGATCTCTTGACCTCATGTTCCACCCACCTTGGCCTCCCAAAGTGCTGGAATTACAGGATGAGCCACCATACCCGACCTACCTGGACATTTTATAAACATAGTTTGAGACAGATAGGTGCTTTCCAAAAGGGAAAGGCCAGGTTTAGGTTCCTACTAACTCTGAATTTTAATCTAAAAGCAATCTGAAGTTCTAACATACAGAAGGCAAATAACTGGGCATTTCCTCCCTTTCTTAATTTCTTCCATCTTGGATTATAGCTCAGTTAAAAGAAATAGCAGGCCTGGCACAGTGGCTCACACCTATAATTTCAGCACTTTGGGAGGCCAAGGTGGGCAGATCACTTAAGGCCAGAAGTCTGACCAGCCTGGCCAACGCGGTAAAACTCTGTCTCTACTAAAAATGCAAAAATTTTCAGTAGAGTGCGGTGGCAGGTGTCTGTACTCTCAGTTACTTGGGAGGCTGAGCCAAGAGAATCACTTGAACCCAGGAGGTGGAGGATGCAGTGAGCCAAGACTGGACTACTGTACGCCAGCCTGCGTAATTAAGCAAGACTCCACCAAGAAAAGAAAAAAAAAAAGAAATAAATAAAAAGAAAAAAAAAAAGAAATAAATAAAAAGAAAAAAAAAAAGGAAAAGAAAGAAAGAGTGAGAGAGTACTAGACTTGACAGTCAGTGATCTCTCTATGACCTAGAGAGGGCAGTCCTGATTAAAAAAATATAATTAATAAAATAATATTTTACTAGGAACCAGGAAACTAATCACACTCCCCAAGCCCACTGGGGAATAGTGCTAGCATTCCTGACAGTGTCCTTACTGCTGGTATTGTCATGGGAAATTCTCAAATACTCACTTTCTAGGAACAGAACCTTTATTTCTGATTTCGTGAATTCCTACTCTTTAACCTTTTTTATGGCTTACTGTTGCCATTCCTCCTTCAATTACTGTCTTCTCTAAACAATCTTCTTACTTTTATAATACTATAGAAGGGAGGGAAGTAGAAATGCATAACCGTCATTGTATTAGTCCATTTTCATTTTGCTATAAAGAACTGCCCAAGACTGAGTAATTTATAAAGCAAAGAGGTTTAATTGATTCACAGTTCCACATGGCTGGAGAGGCCTCAGGAAACTTACAATCATGGCAGAAGGTGAAGGGGAAGCAAGGCATCTTCTTCACAAGGTAGCAGGAAGGAGAACTAATGCAAAAGGAACTACCAAACACTTATAAAACTATCAGATCTCATGAGAACTCAATATCATGAGAACAGCATGGGGGAAACTGCTGCCATGACCCAATTCCCTCCACCTGGTCTCTCCCTTGACACATGGGGATTATGGGGATTATAATTCAAGGTAAGATTTGGGTGGGGGCACAAAGCCTAACCATATCAGTCATCTTTAGGAAACATTTATTCACCAACTTCTATTTGGAAAAGACTAAGGATACAGCTCATCGAGATCTGAAGTCCTGCCTTTAAACAGCTTACAATCTAGTTAGGAAGTCAAAAAAGCTAAAATTATACAATAAAAGCATAAGTATTAAATAAATGTTTAACTCACAAATACATACTATTCCTATGTATGTATGAAGTCATGGTGGAATTGAACCTTACAGAAAAGGTACAATTTAGATTTTAAGAAAGAAGGGGTGAAATCAGGTCATGGGGGATAGAAAGACATGCAGACTAGTATGAAAAGGAGAAAGTACAGAGCAGGTTTAAGAGATAGTGAATAAACTGATCTGGGCAGAAACACCTTTTCCAAAAAGAACATATGCTTGAAACGCAAGGTGAGAGGATTTCAAACGGTTCAGCTTAAGTCAAGAAATGTGAACTTGGGTTAACAGGAAGTTTTTTACACAGATTTACACACATTACCAAAAAGCATATACAGGTTAAACAATATGAGAAATTTACTTACTGAACCTAATATATTATGTATGACAAAATTAAAAGCTCACTTACTTTAGGCAAAGAGACAGTACCTGGGGGTGGGGAAATTCTGACAATTCACTAAAATTCACTAATCTTTCTGTTAAGATTTCATTCTAAGCTTCTTGAATTAGAACATCCCATGACATAATGATGATTTCTGAATACTAAGAATTTTATCATACAAGTCATTCTTGATTTTTTTCCTTCTCCATCTTGCCCAACTTTTGAATATTTCATTACTTCAACATGAGCATATAGCAAAGAAAAAAAAGAGAAAACTAAAATGAAGTTCATGGATTTCAGCAATACAGTAAGGGCATCTGATGTAAAGAACATTAAACTTCAAGTTGCAATTCCCATTATTAATAGATTGATTTCAAAGAAGTCATTTAGTCTTGTCTCAAATGTTCTCTCATACTTCCTTACTTGAAAGGTTGTTGATTCAAAAGATCATTCACAAAGTGCTCTGAAAACTAACTTGCCATACAAATTATATCATTAAGGGTTCAATAAGAGGAGACATCATGGTGACTGTTAAACCAAGGATTAAAAACTGTGAATAGGCCAGACCCAGTGGCTCACCCCTATAATCCCAGCACGTTGGGAGGCCAAGAGGACTGCCTGAGGTCAGTAGTTTGTGACCAGCCTGGTGAAACTGGTGAACCATCTCTACTAAAAATACAAAAATTAGTAGGGCGTGGTGCCATGTGCCTGTAATCCCAGCTACTCCGGAGGCCGAGACAGGGGAATCACTTGAACCCACGAGGCAGAGGCTGCAGTGAGCCAAGATCATGCCATTGCACTCCAGCCTGGACAAGAATAAAACTCCGTTTCAAAACTAAAACAAAAACAAAAAACCTACCTGTGAATAATCAGTGTTTCAATCTCCCAGTGCTGCATGGAACTCTAAATTGTATTTCACTATTACTTCAGAATGTTCCTAAATACAGTCTGCACACTTCATCTGACCTGGAAAGAAAATACTCAAAGTAAGGGGAATAACCAGCATACTGTGTCCTACATAGCCGAAGGATAACTCAAAACCATTCGCAAACTCTCATGAGAGTGCTGTGTGACACTTGTAATTTAAAGCATTCTGACCTGGCACGGTGGCTCACGCCTGTAATCCCAGCACTTTGGGAGGACGAGGTGACCACCCCAGCCAACACGGTGAAAACCCACCTCTATTAAAAATACAAAAACTAGCTGGGCATGGTGGCGCAAGCCTTTAATCCCAGCTACTCAGAGACCGAGGCACAAGAATCGCTTGAACCCGGAAGACGGAGGTTGCAATGAGCGGAGATCGCACCACTGCACTCCAGCCTGGGCAATAGAGCAACACTCAGTCTCAAATAAAGCATTGTAATAATTCTGAACAAAATGAGTTTGAAATCAAACCTGAATACAAAAGCTGAGTATTTAACCACTTACAGGCGAAACTCATAAATACAGAGAATTCTGAATTCAGGTAACTGTACGATAGATACATTTGTTTTAGTTTAATGTCAGACTTGTTTACAAAGATGTTGCTTGGTAACAGAAGCACTGCTTTAACAACCTACTCCGTTTTAGAGTTGCTCAAAGTCTGAACAGATTATGAAGTATACATCATATACAAGAAATTCAGGCAAGTCTCTTTATCCTAGACATCTGTGAGATTTGAAAGAGCTTCCTTATTACAACTAAAGTAATCAAAGACTTTAAAAATATTTAGCAGTGGATATTTTTAAGAGCAAAATGCCCATTGATTACAGTCAAAAGTTGGACACTAAAGATTTACCAAAGTATTCAAGCCCGGCCTCCGCTAACATATTTTAGGCGTTATCTAAGTCATGACAGCTGACATCACCATTCACTCAAATTGTCTTCAAAGCCAAGGAAAATGGTAGCATAGCTTTTTCATCGTAAATTAAGCTGGAGGTACTTAAACATTTGGCCATTTACTAAACTGGCTACACAACCACCACGCCAGAGTGCATCCTAAAGCTCCATAAAGAGTTTCACGTGCATCCAGTTGGCTTCGGAGCAAGTGTCTGCCTACTTTTCTGACACGAATTTCCACTACTTTACGAGGAAAATTAAAAATGGATTCAAGGGTAGTTTGTGGAGGGACAAAATGAGTATGCAAAAAAAACAAGACGCCGTCCCCAGAAAGGTTACACATCAGACGTTCGCACGCTCCTCGCAACGCGCACATGGAAAACTTACGTGACCGGAGTTCTGGCCGCGCTCGCCACCAAAGACACCTCCACAGCTCCAACCACCGGCACCCACTCAACTTTGCTCACCGAGGCATTGGGACAAGGGTTATGGTCCCACAGCGGGGTGTCGGCCCAGCCCGCCACGCCTCGCTCTTCACTTCTCAGCGCAAGCTGAAGAAGAGGAGGAGGGCCGAGCGGACCCCTAGGGCTCCAGTCCCTAGGGAAATGTGAAGTATCCCAGGAGGGGTCCGAGGGCGGCGGCGGCGGCGGCGAAAAGCGCCGCACCTCAGGCGTGCGGAGCCACCTCCCGCGCTGACGTCCGGCAGAGAAGCCGCCGCATCGCACCGCCCCTCCACCCTGGAGGAGCGGGCTCTGTTGCTAGGCCCGGCGGCGCGCAAAGCAGGAAGTCCCGCCCCGACGCCGACGTCACCCACGCCAAGAACGCCGGTTGCTGCTGGAGCCGTTAGAGGGAGAAGACAAACGAACCCAGGCGGGAGCGGCCATTGGCTGTAGCGGCAGCGCGGGGACCCGGGCTGCGCTCCCGTAGGCGTTCCTGGAGGGCCCTGGGGTGGACGCAGAGATTCTCCGAGCCCCAGAGAACGGAAAATCTAGCGCCGGGGACTTGCCTCCGGGAGTCCAAGTGACGCGTGTCGTTGGAGCACAATGCCGGTCTCCCTAGCCTCTCTCCGACGTAGCATCTCCAGGGATTTTCCTCCTTTTGGTGCCTCTCCTTACCTCTTCCCGCGCTGTTTGAGGGCGTCGATGGTAGTCCTGCCGCCACCTCTCCCCCTCCGCCTTCCAGCCTGCCATCGTGCCCGTGTGTGCAGATGTGCGCTCCCAAAATCGCCTGCCCGTCGTATCTGCCTTGGGCATCACCCCATGAGTAGGGAGCCGGCTTAGCTGGCCACGAGGGAACCTCAGGTCTGCCCCACCCCCCGGGAAAGAGCCTCTCCTCGCCTTCGCACCTCCTGCTCCAAGATTCCTCTCCTGGTTATCCCAAATTCAGGGTCCACCTGGGGTGACACGGGAAACTACTGGTCTTCAGGCTATAAACGAGTTGGAAGATGAGGTGCTCGCTTTTGAGAACTTCCATGATCATCCAAAGGCAGAAACAAAGTAGGAGGTCAGCCTTTCAAATAGTTGTTGGAAGAAACAGACACCTTCCCTTCCCCAGCGTTTGTTCAGTGCCTTGGTTGGGCTTTGATTCTCACTACTTTGTGAAGCACAGCTTATTTTTACCCCTAAGGTTATGATTTTCAGGCTCTAGTGATTACTAGAAAGGCAACTGAGAGGTGATTTTTCTTGGTGAAATGAGGGAAAATGGGCCATTAGGACCGTGTCTCTTTAAAGAAGAGGAGGGGAAAACAGGACAATGAGTTGGTAATGGAGTGTTGCTGGATGGATTACATAGAGGAGACATGGGAAATAGAGAATCCAGAAATTCCCGTGTATATATGAGTGTTCAGTGTAATAATAGCTCACATTTGCTGAGTATTTGTGTGTCAAGTACTGGAGTACTTTTTCAGGTCATCTTATTTAATTTTCACATCTCTGTAAGGTAAGTACAGTTGTTATCTCCATTTTACAGAGTTGCCCAAAACCATTATTTTTAAACATTGGACAACTGCAGAAATTTCAGTGGTAACCAGTAACTATACATTACAAATCATTGGTCAGTGGGAAAAAGATTCTTCGGGAAATGGCCTGGCCACTGAGGAGGAGCTTTACATCCATCTCATTTATCAAATACTAGATGAATAAAAGACTTAAAAGGTAAAAAATGAAACCATAAAAAGAGAAGACAATTAATGTGAGTATATATACATTCTTGAGATAAGAAAGGCCTTTGATTATATTCATTTACCTATAGTTAGACAAGCTAACCTACCACTTGGACATCATACTTTTGACTCCACAAATTGGACTGAGTATCCACTCTATGTGTTCTCTGTGTGCCTGTCATGGTATTTGTCACAATACACACTTTAATTCCTTCTGTGCCAATAAATTGTTTGCTCCTGCCATGCATACACACATGGACATAGATCCTTTTTTTTACTATATGTTACACATTGCTTTTGATTCATCATTTTTCATCTATACTTGTGTACAGAAGTTTTTAACATATTCAAAATGCTAATGAAATCACATAGATATTAAAGGGATACTTGGAACAACTTTATGCCAATAAATTCAATAACTTAAGCAAAATGAACAAATTCCTAAAGAAAAATACAAATACCAAAAGTGACACAAGAAGGAAAAGAAAATCTAAATATCTATTAAAGAAATTGAATTTATAAGCAAAACGCTTTCTACAAAGAAAACTCCAGGCAGATGACTGTACCAGTGAAGTTTATCAGACATTTAAGGGAGACAAAGTACTAATCTATTTCAGAAAAATAGAACAGGGAGAAATCCCTCTATACTCATTTTATGAGACAAGCATAATCATGCCAAATATTTTTCTATACTCATTTTATGAGACAAGCATAATCATGCCAAATTTTTTTCCTGTTACCAAAATTTGATATTTTATAAGAAAATTATAGACTAATAGTCCTCATGAATATAGATATAAAAATTCTTAAAGTATTAGCAGATTGAAACTTGCAATATAGAGGATAGGATAAGATACCATGACCAAGGAGAGTGAAGTTAACATTGAAAAATCAGTGTAATTACATTAACAGGACGAAAGAAAAAATTGTCTCAATAAATGCAGAAAAAACATTTGACAAAATTCAAAATTCATTAATGTTAAAAAAAAAAAAAACTCTAAGCAACCTAGGGAATTTCCTCAGTGATTACCTTTGAAAAACTTAGTGGTGAAATATTAAAATTTTTTTCTCCTAAGAGCAGGAACAACAAATATAAGACAATACTTTTCTGCTCTCACTGCTTCTATTTGCGATATTGGAAGCCCTAATCAATGCAATAAAGCAATAAGAAAAAACATAAAGATTGGGAAGACTCCAATATCCTGATTTCAGAACTTCCTGTGAAGCTACAGTACTCAAGATAGTACTGTACTCATATAAAGATAGGAGTACAGATCAATGGAATATAATTGAGTCCAGAAATAAAGCCTTATATTTATTGTCATTTGACTTACAGCAAACGCCAGGACAACTCAATGGGAGAAAGAGAAGTCTTTTCAACAAATGGAACTGGGAAAACTGGATAGCCACATGAGGAAAAAAGAAATTGGAACTCTGCGTCACACCACTTATGGATATTAAGATGAACCAAAGATCCAAACACGAGCTAAAATTATAAAACTTTTAGAAAAAATAAATTCTTATGACCTTGAATTAGGCAGTGGCTTCTTTGCTGTGACAAAAAGCCCAACCAAGGGAAAAAATGAATGCATTAAAATTCATCAAAATCAAAACCTTTATGCTTCAGGCTGGGCACCATGGCTCATGCCTGTAATCCCAGCACTTTGGGAGGCCGAAGCAGGCAGATCACCTCAGGTCAGGAGTTCAAAACAGCCTGAACCCTGTCTCTACTAAAAATACAAAACTTAGCTCAGCATAATGGCACGCACCTGTAATCCCAGCTACTCAAGAGGCTGAAGCAGGAGAATCACTTGAACCCAGGAGGTGGAAGTTGCAGTGAGCTAAGATCATGCCACTGTACTCCAGCCTGGATGACAAAGCAAGATTCTATCTCTTTAAAAACAAAACTTATGCTTCAAAGAACAATATCAAGAAAGTGAAAAGACAACCCACAGAATGGGAGAAAATATTTTTAAAATCCAGTATCTGGTAAGGGTGCACGATTCAGAATATAAAGAACTCATACTTCAGCAATAAAAAGGCAATCCAGTTTAAAAATGGACAAAGGATTTGAATAAACATTTCTCCAGAGAAGATGTACAAATGCCCATAAACACATGAAAATATGCTCAATGTAATTAGTCATTAGGAAAATACAAATTAATGGTCGGGCGCGGTGGCTCACGCCTGTAATCCCAGCACTTTGGGAGGCCGAGGCGGGTGGATCACGAGGTCAAGAGATCAAGACCATCCTGGTCAACATGGTGAAACCCCGTCTCTACTAAAAATACAAAAAATCAGCTGGGCATGGTGGCGCGTGCCTGTAATCCCAGCTACTCAGGAGGCTGAGGCAGGGGAATTGCCTGAACCCAGGAGGCGGAGGTTGCGGTGAGCCGAGATCACGCCATTGCACTCCAGCCTGGGTAACAAGAGCGAAACTCCGTCTCAAAAAAAAAAAAAAAAGAAAATACAAATTAAAAGCAGGTGATACCACTTCACTAGGATGGCTGTAATTTAAAAAAAAAAAATAGACAAGAACAAGTGTTAGGACATGGAGAAATTGGAACCCTCATACTCTGGTGATGAGAATGTAAAATGTTGCCACTACTTTGGGAATAGTTTGGCAGTTCAAGAGGTTAAACGTAAGTTTACCATATGACCCAGCAATTCCACTCTTAGGTATATACCTATGTAAATTGAAAAATATGTTCAATCTCAAAAACTTGTACACAAATGTTTATAACATTATTCATAATAACCAAAAATGTTACACAAATATTCATAACATTCATAATAACCAAAAAGTAAAAACACAAATGCCCATCGACTGGTGAATGAATAAACAAATATGGTGTTTCCATACAATGGAATACTATTCAGTTATTAAAAGGAATGAAGTACTGATTCATGCTACAAATTGAACCTTAAACACATTATATGCTAAGTGAAAGCCACATATAATTCCATTTATATGAAATATCAATAATGGGCAAATCCATAGGGAAAGAAAATAGATTAATAGTCCAGGGCTGGAGACTGGGACAGTGGGGATTGACTGCTAAAAAGTATGGAGTTTATATTTGGAATGATGAAACTATCCTGAAGTTAAATAGTAGTGATGGTTGTACAACTTTGTGAATATGCTAAAAATCACCAAATTATATACCTTAAAAGTGAGTTTTATGGTATGTAAATTAAATCTCAATTTTTAAAATGGGAATAAGTACAGTAGTTCCTCCTTATCTGCTGGGGATACATTCCAGGACCCCCAGTGGAAACCTAAAACAATAGATGGATAGTATCAAACCCTATATACACTTTATTTTTTTTTTCCTACCTACACATACCTAAGATAAAACTTAATTTATAAATTAGGCACAGTAAGAAATTAACAACAATAATAAAATAGAACAATTATAACAATATAATAAAAGGTATGTGACTGGTCTCCCAAGATACTGTACTATACTCTTCTTGTAGTGATGTGAGATGATAAAATAAGTGACAAGAGGAAGTGAGGTGAATGAGGTAGTGAATCATGATGGGATTCAGCCTTTTCTTTGGTTTTCTCCTTTGGCCAGTGACAAGTCAAAGGCAGGTACGACTTAGGTCTCACTAAA